CTCTCTCTCTCTCTCTCTCTCTCTCTCTCTCTCTCTCTCTCTCTCTCTCCCCCCCTGTATATTTGTATATATCTAATATGTATATATCGTTGTGTACATATATGTATCGATACACCCATATCGTCATACGGGAACGAAAGGGTGGCCGTGACAAATATCCTCGTTTGAATTTACCGGACTAATCAAACGAGTACATCTCCTGGAGATCGCAAGAGAGAGAGAGAGAGAGAGAGAGTCGCATCTGAGAGAACCTGAGTTCGAATCCTGATGGAATCAGACAATTAAAATAAATGTGACTTGAAAAGAAAAGAAAAAAAGCGTCCCCTCTGACACAGAAATAGCTTCACAATTTTTTCGAAAGCGTCGGCCTTTCGTCGCACGACAAACACAAACACAGAGAGAAAAAGCGAAAGAGAGAGAGAGAGAGACAGCGAGAGACAAAGAGAGAGAGAGAGAGAGACAGCTTCAGGTATGGGAACTGGTAGGACGCAAAACACAGACAAAAAAGAGAAACCGACAAGCAGAGGACCAGAAAAGAGAAAAAGAGAGAGAGAGAGAGAGAGATTTTGGCAAAGGGAGAGATGCAAAAGAAAGTGGGAGAGGGAAAGATCACCACAGAGACAGAAAGGGCTAGAGAGAGAGAGAGAGAGAGAGAGAGGGGGGGGGGAGCGAGGGAGAGAAAGAGATTGACGATAAGGAGAGAGCGGCACACAAAAGAGATGAACCATGAACGTCTAACCACTCTCCGCCCCCCCCCCCCCCCCCCCCCCCCCCCCCCTTCCCCGCCCCCGACCCCTCACGTCTGGGGACACAGAGAGAAACGTACCTTCTCGATTTTTTCGAACGAATCCGCTTTTCGGGGAACCCATCCTCTTATTGCTTCAGCCGCAACCGTAGAAAGCCAACTAGGCCAACCAGCAGCGACGCTCTCGGAGACGGCACTGCCTGCCAAGGGAAGGGCTTTATCGGGGCGAAAAGAGCGAATGGTGTCATGATGGGATTGGCCTTTGGTGGAGGGTAGATGGGGGGCGACGATAACCCCATTAACCTCCACCTTACTAGGCCGCGTGGGGTCGAGGGGATGTTTCTGGCCATCTTCTGGACGAGCATCGCGATCGCGATCGACGCTCCTAACCACCTTCGGTTGCGACGACTTGCCCGGATTGGGACTCTCCGGCTCGTCTCTGGCATTGGAACAAACACAGCCCATACCTGATCTCTCTCTCTCTCTCTCTCTCTCTCTCTCTCTCTCTCTCTCTCTCTCTCTCTCTCTCTCTCTCTCTCT